GAAGCTGCGGAGCAACCTGCGCCAGCTCACCCTCAGCGCGGCCGGGGCCGACCAGACAGACTCCCCCGACGCCCCCCAGCTCGTGCTGCCGGCCAACATAGGGGACATTGAGGTGCTGAACCTGGGCAACAACGGCCTGCAGGAGGTGCCAGACGGGCTGGGGTCGGCGCTGGGCAGCCTGCGCGTCCTGGTCCTGCGCAGGAACCGCTTTGCCCGGCTGCCCCCAGCGGTGGCCGAGTTGGGCCACCATCTCACCGAGCTGGATGTGAGCCACAACCGGCTGACCGCCCTGGGCGCGGAGGTGGTGAGCGCCCTGCAGGAGCTGCGGAAGCTTAACCTCAGCCACAACCAGCTGCCCGCCCTGCCCGCCCAGCTGGGCGCTCTGGTCCACCTGGAGGAGCTGGATGTCAGCTTTAACCGGCTGGCGCACCTGCCCGACTCCCTCTCCTGCCTCTGCCGCCTGCGCACCCTCGACGTGGACCACAACCAGCTCACTGCTTTTCCTGGGCAGCTGCTGCAGTTGGCGGCCCTGGAGGAGCTAGACGTGTCCAGCAACCGGCTGCGGAGCCTACCTGAGGATATCAGTGCCCTGGGTGCCCTTAAGATCCTCTGGCTGAGTGGGGCCGAGCTTGGCACCCTGCCTGAGGGCTTCTGTGAGCTCGCCAGCCTGGAGAGCCTCATGCTAGACAACAACAGGCTGCAGGCTCTGCCCGCCCAGTTCAGCCATCTGCAGAGGCTCAAAATGCTCAACCTCTCCTCCAACCTCTTCGAGGAGTTCCCTGCTGCGCTGCTGCCCCTGGCTGGCCTGGAGGAGCTCTACCTTAGCCGAAACCAGCTCACCTCAGTGCCATCCCTGATCTCAGGCCTGGGCCGGCTCCTCACCCTGTGGCTGGATAACAACCGGATCCGCTACCTGCCGGACTCCATTGTGGAGCTCACCGGCTTGGAGGAGCTAGTGCTGCAGGGGAACCAGATCGCTGTGCTGCCAGACAACTTTGGCCAGCTCTCCCGGGTGGGCCTGTGGAAGATCAAGGACAACCCCCTGATCCAGCCCCCCTACGAGGTCTGTATGAAGGGGATCCCCTACATCGCAGCCTACCAGAAGGAGCTGGCCCATTCCCAGCCTGCGGTGCAGCCCCGCCTCAAGCTGCTTCTGATGGGCCATAAGGCTGCAGGGAAGACCTTGCTCCGTCACTGCCTCACTGAGGACAGAGTGGAGGGAAATGAAGGAGGGGACAAGGAGAAGATCTACCCACCTCCACTTCCTCCCGTGAGCAAGGGCATCGAGGTGACCAGCTGGACAGCTGATGCTTCCCGGGGCCTTCGATTCATCGTGTATGACTTAGCTGGAGATGAAAGTTACGAGGTGATCCAGCCCTTCTTCCTCTCCCCAGGGGCCCTTTATGTGCTGGTGGTGAACTTGGCCACCTATGAGCCACTGAGATTCTCTACCACGGTGGGCTCCTTCTTGCATCGTGTGGGGGCCCGGGTGCCTCATGCTGTGGTGTGCATTGTGGGCACGCATGCAGACCTGTGCGGGGAACGGGAGCTGGAGGAGAAGTGTCTGGACATTCACCGCCAGATTGCCCTGCAGGAGAAGCATGATGCTGAGGGGCTGAGCCGTCTGGCCCAGGTGGTGGACGAGGCACTGGCCCGGGACTTCGAGCTGCGCTCAGCCAGCCCCCATGCAGCCTACTACGGTGTTTCAGACAAGAACCTTCGGCGGCGCAAGGCCCACTTTCAGTACCTGCTCAACCACCGGCTGCAGATCCTCTCCCCTGTGTTGCCAGTGAGCTGCAGGGACCCTCGCCAATTACAACGCCTTCGGGACAAACTGCTCTCGGTAGCTGAGCACCGAGAAATCTTCCCCAACTTACATAGAGTACTGCCTCGGTCCTGGCAGGTGCTGGAAGAACTGCATTTCCAGCCACCTCAGGCACAGCGGCTTTGGCTAAGCTGGTGGGACTCAGCACGCCTGGGCCTGCAGGCAGGTCTGACCGAGGACCGGCTGCAGAGCGCCCTGTCCTACCTGCATGAGAGTGGCAAGCTGCTCTACTTTGAGGACAGCCCGGCCCTCAAGGAACACGTCTTCCACAACCTCACCCGCCTCATTGACATCCTCAATGTCTTTTTCCAGAGGGATCCTTCTTTATTGCTGCATAAGCTGCTCCTCGGGACCAACGGAGAGGGCGAGGGGGAGGGGGAAAGCTCCCTCGTGATGGCGCTGCCTCCGCCAAACCAGGACCTGCTCCGGGCCACCCAGCTCCATCATTATGTGGAGGGCTTTCTGCTTCATGGGCTCTTGCCGGCCCATGTCATTCGGTTGCTGCTTAAGCCTCATGTCCAGGCCCAGCAGGACTTGCAGCTGCTGCTAGAGCTGCTGGAGAAGATGGGACTCTGCTACTGCCTCAATAAACCCAAGGGCAAGCCTTTGAATGGGTCCACGGCCTGGTACAAGTTCCCATGCTATGTGCAGAATGAGGTGCCCCATGCAGAGGCCTGGATTAATGGGACCAACCTGGCTGGGCAGTCTTTTGTGGCTGAGCAGTTGCAGATTGAATATAGTTTTCCCTTTACTTTTCCACCTGGATTGTTTGCACGTTACAGCGTCCAGATCAACAGCCATGTGGTGCACAGGTCGGATGGGAAACTCCAGATCTTTGCATATAGGGGGAAAGTTCCTGTGGTGGTCAGCTACAGGCCTGCCAAGGGGGTCCTGCAGCCAGATACTCTGTCCATTGCCAGCCATGCATCATTACCGAATATATGGACGGCATGGCAAGCCATCACCCCTTTAGTGGAAGAACTGAATGTCCTACTTCAAGAATGGCCTGGACTGCACTACACCGTGCACATTCTCTGNTGCACAGGTCGGATGGGAAACTCCAGATCTTTGCATATAGGGGGAAAGTTCCTGTGGTGGTCAGCTACAGGCCTGCCAAGGGGGTCCTGCAGCCAGATACTCTGTCCATTGCCAGCCATGCATCATTACCGAATATATGGACGGCATGGCAAGCCATCACCCCTTTAGTGGAAGAACTGAATGTCCTACTTCAAGAATGGCCTGGACTACACTACACCGTGCACATTCTCTGTTCTAAGTGCCTTAAGAGAGGGTCGCCCAATCCACATGCTTTCCCAGGTGAGTGGAGAGAGGGATGTGGCTCTTGTGTACTGTGTTTTAGGATGCATTTCATTTGAAGATTTTTGTTTCTCATCTGTAAGATTATTTGCTTAACCTCACAGGCTCCCCAGGAAAGCTTCTCAAGGTAAATACAGGGGGATTTGGGGACAAGCAAAAAGCAGTAAGTACCCCCAGTCCCATACTCTTCTACAAGCAAGATTCGCACTTCCAAAGTGGGTTCCAGTCAAAATATTTGGAACTCCCTTTTTCCCTTTTCCAGTTTAGCCCATCTTTCCTGGGAGGAAATTTCAGGTGGTTGAACAGAAGATGGTGTCTGATGTTGGTCCCTCACTGAGCCTGGCCTGTAATGCTTATTAGACACATCTGGAAGGGTTTGAGGTGCTCTGAGTTTGACATGTCTATTACCATATTTTTTTTTGCTTAAATTCAAAGTGTAGTAATAAGTAAAAATTACTGCTCACTTTCTTAAGAAATTCCAGAGAAGAATGTTTTGCAGTCGGGTTTGGATTAGTAAAGACAATGATAGTAAAGACAATTAATGATGGATTAGTAAGGACAAAACTTTCAGTCTGTAATGCATGACTAAGTCCTGGGATCATGATTTCACTCACTACCCTCGTGGGCATGAACGGTGGACTACTGAGCTCTCGCAGGGGACTTTCCTCGGGTATTTCCTGGCAATTTGTTGCTTTACAGATGTCTTAAGGTTTGTTTTTTTGGTAAGCGTTAGAGAGTGGAGGCTTTTGGAAGTATTTTGTAAGAGATAGAAGAGACAAAAAGCTACCAACAATTTTTTTCTTTTTTGCGGGGTGTTTTCCAGCAGACTCCCTCCCTC